TTTTCTAGTTTGGTCAGGTTTTATGGTTATAACTCCAGCTGGCACGTGTAAATTGAATAGACAGTGAAGCCCTCTATGATAAATGTACTTGTGCGTAGCTTGAGTCATCACTACATAACCTGACACAAATAGGAAATTATTCTTAATATTACAGTAATTTTCTGTGAATTGTACATAGATATTTCATATGCATAAGTCAGATCAGCGGACACAGACTTTATTTCCAAAACTTACAGTAAATAAATAAATAAATAAACAGCATTTAATATAGCGCCCTATCTAGCTAAAATAAGCCACTCTAAAGCGCTTTACAGTACATAGATTAGCATACACATTATATTTTTGAGGAATTCGCAGGAGCTGCCTTATTAGGCGCTCACTACTAGTACTATGCCACCTTGCTAATATCTCCCTAAGTGTGTATGTCTGCGTGTTTGCTGGAGATGTATTGTGTTCTGTTTGCTAATATTTTATGTTGAGAACGTCACGAAAGTGTCTCTCATTTTTGCATGTAATGTTTTCGAAGTTACGTTCACCTGTCACGATGTGTGGTAAGATAACGAGATGATAACGAGATGGTAACGAGATAATAACTCAAAGATACTGGAAAAATGGTTATTTAATGACCTTCGGTGTACAATGTTACTGTATAATTTTCAATCAACTTAGATTAATACTGAAAAAATATTTTTTCTAGAGACATGAATGTTTATTATCTGTTCAATGTTAAGAGTGTGAATATACATGTACACTTGTAAATCAGTTTTCATTAACGCTTAATTAATTGTTTCTAGAGATCATGTTGTTAATTATCTTTTCAAAGATAATGCATCATGATAGGCAGGTTTGGTTTGGTTGGCTGTGTAGGGTATGCGTGCATATGTCTACTGGAGGCGGTATATACAATGTAGTTGTGTTTGCCTCCTTGCGATAGTGCGGATCTGATAACGTCTTTAAGACTGCGACCCTAACAGAATACCATACCGAAGGCACCCATCACATGTACAGTATTCCATCCGCTTACACTATACTGACAACGGGTTAACCAGTCGTTAGTTGCCATTAACATGAATGCTGAACGTTAACTCATTCACTCCTGAAGACACATTTGAACTCTTCCAATTCAAAGGTTGGAATAGTTAATTATGAAATCTCAGGGGTGAAAGAGTTAAGCAGAGGATAACAACTACCATTTTAAGGACTTTTGTTCATTACCAAAGATCATTTTCTGACATTATCTTCTGTGCGTCATATGCTATTCATACTACAGTACTGCTGAACAATGACCTTGGAAGTATATTTTTTTATGTGGTTTTATAGGCAATAACATTTCCAAAATGTATGCCCCCGCCGCCATGTGAAATTAGATTCAGTGTTTGATAGCGTTCGATAAATAGTTACAACGACTTTTATCTTGACACCCTTAAACATGTAAGCATTCAAGGTATAATCTATGATTAGCAAATGCAGTGACCCTTGAAACATGAACTCATCCGGAGTATTCCAATACCTGAAATCTGTATAAACTTTTATCAAAATCTGTTAAGAAAGGAAGTAGCTAGAGTGACGACACTGAATCAGTTGATGGTGTTCTATATATAGTAACAGTGACATTTGCCTTGCTAGTCGCCCTTTGTATTAAGTTTTATCAAAATCCGTCAAGAAGTAAAGTTGGTTAACTGATGACACCGAATATGATTTGCTATGATTAGCAATAGTGACATTGGCTTTGACCTTGGAATCCTAATACACGAACTCATCTGAAATATTTGCATACTTTTGACATTTGTATAAAGTTGAAAAGGTGAAATCTGTCAAAGGATGAAGTTGCTAGAGTATTGACATTGAATTGAATTGTGACGTGACGGACATTGCCCCCCGCCGCTCACCGATCCCCCATTGTATGTGTTGGGCATGAACAGGTTCATTGCAGATTGCAGAGCATTAGGTTTCTGTTATACGGATTACACATGACGTATAACATATAGCGTCAAAGGACCAATCATTGACCGCGATGCATTTTGCCTGCGTACAATACGTATTTATCTCCATTGTGACAGTATACCTATTGTTCACACGTAGACATTAGGTAGGATTAAGCGACAAACAAAGTTGGTCACCTGGAAATGTAGGGATAGTTTTTCATTAACATCATTATCTTAATCACAATGGTATTTATTGCTCGATAGTCGTATATTTATTCATAAGGTATATAGTCCAGTTAAATGAGCCGATGAAATAGACAAACATAGTTTTCTATAAAGATGTCGTGAAGTCTACTTTAGGGATGTCGTGAAGAATTATAAAGGGATATCCTAAAGTTCCCTATAAAGGGTTGTCTCGCGATTTCCAATAGGAATACATTGAAATCTGCTATAGAGATGTCGTAAAATTGCCTGTAGGAGCGTCTTGAAGTTTCCTATTTGGATGTCGTGAAGCTTCTCTTTGAGTATTCTTAAGTCCCGTTAAGAGATGTCGTGAGGTCTCCCATAGGGATGTTTTTAATTCTGTTTTCTGGAACTCGTGAAGTTTCCTTATATGGCCATCTTGAATTCTCCTATGTGGGTGTCGTGACATTTTCTATAAGAATATCTTGAAGCCGCCTATAATGGTGTTATGAAGGCTCTCTAAGGGATGGCTTCAAGTCTTCTACATTGTATTTAGGGATGTCTTGATGTGTTCTATTGGGACGTACATGAAACTCTTGAGGCATCGGCAATGGCTTTGTCTATCAATTAGAAGTACCGTGAAGAGACGTCGTTAAGTCTGCTGTGAGAGTATATCTAAATATCTTGTATACATGTTTAGCAGTCTTCTAAGGATGTCTTGAGGTCTCCAATAGGAATTTCTTACATTCTCTTACAGTGTTGTTCTAAGATGAATAGTGTGAGGTCTCCTTATGGACTAGCGAGGGGTGACCTAATGGAATAGCGAGATGTTTCCTAACAGAAAAGGATGATACCTCCTTATGACATACTGTGAGGAATCCTAACGGACCTAGTGGAATAGGGTGAGTACTCTGAAAGGAATATTGAGAGGTATCCTAATTGGGTAGCGAAAGGTCTCCTAATAGAGTAGGGTGAGGTATCCTTATGGAAAAGGGTGCAGTAGTGTAATAAAATAGAGCGAGGTATCCCGGCGGTTAAAGAATGTGTATTGGTACACATGGTGGAACCACGAAATTCCCAAGGCCAATTTTCGGAACGAGTCTTCTTGTTGGGGGAATGAAATAGTAGCCAAACCACTGCCTTCCAGCGAAGCAATATATCCCTGGGAACCACTCACATTTAACAACGTCAAGCGTGTTAAGTGACTGAATACGTTACAGGAAGAAAAGCACGTTACAACAAGAAGAACAAAATGTAAATGTCTAGACGTTACGTGCGATGTTAGTGACACCTTGTGTAACGTAAAATGACGTCGCTTTAGACGTTTTATCATATTTTGCATTATTTCCTATGTCCCATTGTACGCAACCGTGCAGACAAAGAAAAAGGATCAACATGAGCTGATAAACATTTTTCATAACTGTTGTGAATTAAATAAAGTTTAAAAATTGGCCAGAATTAGAAGGGGAAGATAGATGTGGTTGTGGGGAGGGGTTATATTCTCAAATTCGTTTTCATCGTTTCAGAACGAGTCGGTTGTCCCAGTTTTAGATTTTTGCTGCATATACAAACAGAGAATGAGTATCAACGTCAGATAGCTGTTATTTTTACTGTATTTCTACAATTCTATTTATAAGTACAGTGTATTGCCTTTATCCATGTAGTGTTTCAACAATTGTAATGGTGCATTACATTGAGTTCGAAAAAGTAAAATGGCCTCACTGATATTTGGCACCCTAAATGGTGCGCAACGTTATATCGCCGAAGTGGGACATTTTACGGAAATTGATAAGTGTAGTGCATTTTTTTTTTTTTATTATTGGTCCCACCATAAAAGTGAAAAGTGTTTCCTTTTATTCAGTAAAAGCACATACTTTTTAGAACAAAAATCATTTCATTTCATGTTTCGTAATTTTAATATTATACGTCATCAAAGTTTCAATTTATGCAAAATGTACGTCAAAAACTACCACTGGATAAATTTCGGAATTTTAATTTTGCCTGTTTTTTAAGAAAACGTTCTTTCAGATAGATAATTTTCTTTGTATGATATATGTAATTTCGACAAAGATACGTTACAAATATAACTTTATATATCTTAAATATCTGACAATATCCTCCAGTCAACACGATAGATGCAAGCCGACCTTCTTGCTGGGTAAGCGTTACAATTTGTTAGTAGCGGTTTGGAGAAGATTTTGGTAAATATGCCGAGCACTGATCCCAATGAAACCTTTGACGTCTTTTCTGCTTCCGTAAATCTAGTTCTTTGAAACGTCTTACTCCGTAGATGTTACGCGTTACACGAGTTATTGTGACGTTTTCGAGTTTGTTAATGCGAAACAGAATTCTTCATATTGTGTTATACTATCTATAATTAGCATTAGATGAATGAGTTTGAAACATCGTTTTCTGTGATATATAACATGACATCAAGTTCTGAAAACTGAATAATACAGCGATACTAGCGGGCGCCATTCGTGTTTTGAAGCGGTGTCACCAACATCGCGCATAACTTCCTATCAATCAGAAGCCAGTTGAAGGCGAAACAAAATGTTCTTAAAAAAACACCAAAGGGTATAATATAGCGTTTGTAACATTTAACAAATTAATGCTTACTTTGAGTGAAATGGGACATTATTAAAAATTCTAAAAGTTTAACATTATCAATCAAGAACATAAATGTCAAATTTTGAAACATTTTATAAAAAATGTCACAAGTTTAACAACAGAAATTACAATATTTTCATTTGTGAACGCTTTGCAATGAATTCGTAACGCAATCGTATAGGTATAATTGGCGTTACAATTGGTACATTGTATTTATTTTATGAGCGTTATATATCGAAATTTTTAACACACCAGTTACCTGCGGTATCTGTTATTCGCATTACCATGTGCTAATAACCGAAGGTTAGCGAATAAGCGACGGGTGACGTATAGGGCACTTAGCAATTATTAACATTATAAAATATAGGAATATTTTTGCTGACTCACAATTACAGGCCCGACAATATTGTACTACCAGTACCTGGCGACTGATCCCATAGGTCTCGAACACGCGACCCAGTGGTGGAGGGCTAGTGGTAACAGAATGTCAGACGCCTTAACCACCGCAGACCCTTTTGAACTGTCATTCTTCAAAAAAGAATGATTGGTCATTTCACTTTCAGTTTCCATTCAGCGTATTAGATTGGTCAGTTCATGTGTATGCGTGTTATACTGTTCAGCTTACGTGCAGCGTATCAGATCGGTCAGTTCATGGGTATGTGTGTTATACTGTTCAGCTTACGTGCAGCGTATCAGATCGGTCAGTTCATGGGTATGTGTGTTATACTGTTCAGTTTACGTGCAGCGTATCAGATCGGTCAGTTCACATGAACCGTATCAGACCACAGGGACTTGAGAATTTGTTCCAGCTATATTTGGACCTAAACACAGGTGTTCAGAGTGATTTTAGTTGGGGTGTCATTTTTACCGAAAGTCGATCTAACTTCCTAAAACTTGCAAAGTCACTCCTTAGTTTCAAACACCTTAGTTTAGGTCCAAATGTAGTTGTAACAAATGCTCAGGTCCCTGTGTATCAGACTGGTCAGGTCATGTATACTGAATCATATTGGCTAGTCTCGTTTCGTGTATTAGATTGGTCAGAACACATGCAGTGCAACATGGCGGTAACCTGACTAGTTACATGATAAAATGTCCATGTTAGGATGTTTCCAAGCAGTTGCACTTTAAACTTCATCAGCTACACTAGCATTTGCTAAAACCCTATGGAACACCCCAACTTTACATGGCTTCAGAATGGTTTATTCCACAGTATATCCAAAACCTCAATGGGTATACTACAAAGAAAATCTGTCTACGAGGACATCCAAATATACATTTTCTCACATTTAAACAAAGTAAACATTTCATGTTTCTTTAAAAAAATCTATCATATTTTCCAGTTAATAAAATTCTTTTTAACTGTCATTCCTCAAGTAACCTTCATCACAAGTGATGATGACGTCATTGAGAAGAATAGTTTGTGAGAAGTCCCTCTGCGCAAGCGCTCTCCTCGTCCTTCATGTCTATAACCAGAGTTCCTTCCGCCTCGGATTCTGTAGTGGAGGGGCGTGGCTGGAAAACGTTCACTTCCGATACCTTGGGATACCCAATTAACGATTCCATGGAACTTTGACCTTCCGAATAAAAGGCATTCCGGGATGTCGGGAAGTCCTCTGCAGACTGTCCAGACCGAGGCACCGGAAGGGTATTATGGAAATCCCCATTATATGTTATATCCTGTTGGCCGGTTTGAAAGAAGCGCGGGGCTGGATTATATGGGTACATGAATGGAGTCCTCGGGTACGTATACATCGGCATGCTGGCCCGGGGAGAGAGTGGACTGACGTTCGTGTGTGGTGGGGGTAGCGGGGCGCTGAATCCATGATTATACCCCTGGAACCCAATGAACCCCATACCTGAAAAAAATAAACATGTATTGTTGTCGATAGTTATAAATTGTACATTATTAGTATATTTATAACAAGCGGTCCATGAGGCCTTTGTTGCACAGCTATTTTATTTATAATCTCAAATAGCCAAAAACATGTTTCTGTAAATAAATCAGACCATCCCGGCAAAATTCGATTTTTCCTTCTCTTTTTTTTTTAAATGGTTCACTGCAGGAGCATTTCTTTAAGCATATCTCAGGATTCCCTTCAAAAATAATTGAATATACCGACGGCTCTAAAGTCGAAGAGAAAGTTGTAGCAGCATGTGTTGTTGCAAGGTATCTTTTTCTGTCGTTTACCTGATAATTCCTCTTTATAATTACAGCTGAAGCTACTGCAGATGGTCTGGCTTTGGATGAAATTAAAAATAATAAAATAAAACCAAAAAAAAACCCCAATAATTTGTTCCGGCTCTTTGTCACTCCTAGAAAACTTAAGAAAGTATTAAAAAAAGAAGGAATTTTAATAACAGTCTAATATAAAACATCGCTCTTCGTATTAACAGGGTGTTAGTGCTTCGTCACCTGGTCCTCCCGATTAGGATTCAGTAACCAAACGATACATTAACTGCCTTATTCTGATTTTAAACCTTCCCGGATAACAATAAATTTCATTGAAACATTTTGGCAGAATAAATGGCATGAAGAAATAAACAAGAAGTTATTTTCAATTCAAACTAAAGTCGGTACATGTGCAACAAGTAGAGCAGACCGCAGATACATGTAGGATAGTGTCCTCTCGCGACTGCGCATAGGCCATTATACTACGTCACACATGGACACATGGTTACATTTTACATAAAGAAGACTAGCCTTACTGTTATGCATGTGATCAATCATTTAAAACATATACGTGACAGATTATATAATATACAGTACCGTCTATAAAAAAAACCATGTTGGATACAGTTGCTGTGCAATTAATATATGACGATTTACACTCAATTCCTTTTTATAAGATATACTATATTTTACAAACAATTCGTTTGCTGTATTTTAAACAAAAATAGTTTCAGTTCGATGTTATCATTTTTGTGAATGTCTCTGTTTACAGTGTTGTTCGGCCCTAAATGACTAGCATTGTCGATAGGTCGTTAAACAATTCAAAAAAGAAACCAAAACATTCGTTAGTTTTATGCATCCTCCTTTTTTATAATTGACCCCGCCCCTTTGCTCCAAGGGACCTAAGCCGACACCTTACATTTGTCATCACTCATCACTAGTAACCCTCTTTTTCGACAATTGTAACATTTCTAATAATAATCAGCTGTTCTGGAGTAGTAACAAAAAAAACAAAAAAATATATACAACATTTGATATAGCGCCCTATCTAGCTAACATAAGCCACTCAAAGCGCTTTTCAGTACATATATATACAATATATACAATTTATACAATCAATACAATTAGCATAACATTAATCAATACAATTTTGAGGAATTCGCAGGAGATGCCTTATCAGGCGCTAACTACTATGGGTTGTTGGAGTTGTGTGGGCAGGAGAAAAACAGTTTCTCAGAATATCCATGCGTACGCCGACTTCGGGGATCGAACCCCGGCCGGGTGCATGGAAGGCCGTAGTGTTAACCACTCGACCAATCCGCCCATAAAGGAATGCTTTAATGGAAGAAAATTTGACGGTGCAACTTCATCACCACTTTGTAGAAAGGAGCTAGCAGTATCCGGGTGTTTTTTTTCAATATTTAAAAGTAAAACGAGAAAATGTCTTTAGGACCTGAATGCCCCCACTGCCATGTGCACAGAACGTGGAGACAATGAATCAGTTGATGATTTTCTATATATTACATCAATTTATAGCAACAATGAACTTGGTTTTGACCTTTGAACCCTAAAACGCAAGAGATGTCAGCGGTATTCTCTTGCTTGACATTTGAATAAAGTTTACTAAAACTCCATCAGGAAATAAAGTTGGTTAACTAATGCGGACACTGATTTGGTTGATGATTTTCTATGAATAGCAATTATGACTTTGGCCTTGACCTTGGAATTCTAAAATCATACTCATCTGATGAATTTGCATATTTTTGACATTTGTATGAAGTTGGATGAAAAACCGTCAAAGAATGACATTGCTAGTGTGTTTTACATTGAATCGCGTCGTTTTATGACGGCCCGGGGCATATAAAAAGTTGAATACTGACCGACATTTCCCGTTGAGACACGTAAATCCCCTGTGCATGTCGGTGTCAGGTCTAACTTGGTATGCGTGATGGTGTCCAGGGCTTTATTCATGGCGGCGTCTATCTTTCCTATGGTCTTCTGTGTGTCGCCTTCACACGACTTAAGTACGGTGCCCATCTTCTCCACGTCATAGTGAGGATAACGGTGTATGAGCATCTGTAGGGAATCTGTTAAAAATCCATCGATCATTTATATTTCAATTCAAATTTATTTAGCTACAAAGAAGTGTGAAGGCAAAACAGTGAAATACATACATAGACATCTACATATACAGTAAAACCTGATATAATGCCCCTCGTTTACCGCCAGCATATTTCAATTCCCCCAATTTATCACCGAACCCTTTTGTAATGCCAAACTATATCTCGACTAATGGTAACAGTATAACAAAGTTTTGATTGTCATTATTGAAGAGTTTGGAGCTAAAATACAACTTGCGTAAAATGTAATGCATAAGACAGCATTGCAAAAACCAACAGTACATCGAGGAGAAACAAAGAATCATGTTTCCCTGCAGAAAAGGCAACAAATGTATATATGTCATCCGATACATGCGTAAACGTAAATGACATCACAACACGTGACCAGCTACTGTACCTGTATTATTGGGTATTGGCGCCACCAGACCCATATCCTCCTCCTGTCTCCAGAGGCGCCTCAGGGCGATCTGTTCCTTTGAATTCTGCTGGCGCTTCATCAGCAGAAGGCAGTTTTCGCACGTGCAGTTCTTCCATTGGCAGAATCGCTTGTGTCCCTTGAGGACGGTTATGATTCCATGATTTCGACAGCGACAACATTTAGGGGAGCGCAGTGGAGACAAGCACGTAGCGCGCTTTGTTTCCTTCGGTGAGGACATAACTAAGCTATAAAATACTGAAGGGAGAGATTTATTAATGTAAATTTCGATGAGGACAACAAAACTGATACATTTTAAACGTGTCAAAGTGATGAACGGGTGTCAATTATTGGGACCTGATAATTTGTTGCAGCTACATGTATCTGGACCTAAACTAAGGAGTTCGGAGTAATTTTACACGTTTTAGGGGTTTAGATCAATTTTCAGTAAAATGTCACCCTTGTAACGGACCGAAAGTTGATCTGAACCCCTAATAATCACTCTGAACATCTTAGTTTAGGTCCAGATTATAGCTGCAACAAATTCTCAAGTCCCTGTGGCGTCACTGTCGTTATTCTTTGTAATAAAAAAAGTGTCGTACAACTCTGACACTAGAAAATAGTTTTCGACAGAATTTTAAGATTAATACATCATTTAGTGACGTACACAACTTACAAAATGCATTATCATCTAATGAACTGAAAGTTTTTTTTGTGATATAGGTCTCTTCGTTAAAACGGCTTTAAAGCTGAGGAATGCGGGCTTGTGACGTGCCTAGGTTTCACAAGTCAATAATGCTTTTCCTAGTATTTTTTTTTATTCATTTTGCATTGCATTGAGATCCTTTGAATGTAAACTATTTGGATGAAAAATAGAAAAATATATCCTATTCAGATCTTCTGTAACGTTTTTAATAATTAATATTTCTCATATTTCATCGCTCTTCACACTCGCCATCCTCAAACTTTCAGGGGTTACGCTTTCTTACGTTTCTGCACAAGTGAGCGTAACCCTGGGAACGTGAGAATGCGCACAGTTAAATGAAAGAAATCACTGCATCCTACTTTGTGAATATTTTGGGTTAGGAAAACAAAAACGTTTCATCTCAGAGTAAAAAAACCCGAAAGTGCTTGTTAAAATTAGTTTTCAAAACGGAATTAGTGCACGTGTTTTTCTTATTTGGAGTAGGCACATATTTATTGTTAACGAAGGGAGTATATTTATTTCCATTTCTCATTTGTTGAGATATTTTATTTGATAAAATCAAAAAGAATTTTATCAGGTAAAATCATAAGTTGCTACAATTTTTTTTTATCTAATTTGCTCAAAATGTTTTTTCGTTACTGTTTTTTTTAATTTTATATAGCTGATCCGTCATCGAAATGTTCTATACGTCTTATAAAAATTGCTATAATTCAAATAAAAAGAAAATCGAGTTGGATACATAGGTCTACTCTACATCACAGGGACCTGATAATTTGTTACAACTATATATATTTGGACATACACGTTTGGGGGTTTTAGCGAGTAAAATTACTTTGAACACCAAAATTTACGACCGTTGGTCCAAATATAGCGGTTACAAAGCCCAGGTCCCTGCAGATCTATATACAGAGCATACAATGTCAAAATTTACAGGAACCCTTCAGAGATAAAACCCGTAAGTCAAAAACTAATATTCCTGGAAAATTAATTTTGAAAATAATATTTATATGAATTTGAAAATAATAATTAAGATTATTGAACCACAGGTATTAATTAGCCCTATCTGTCATTAGTATCAATAAACAGACGAGGATAGTTCCTGTGTATCTGGTTGACCTAAGGATTAATAGTAATTCGCATTTCCATCGTTAGTCACTGCCGTCCTTTTTAGATCCAAAACACGTGCGAGCTTCTCGCTGTCGTTTTAAAAGATGTAAACTGGGTATCGGTTAAAATGTTTAAATTCACGTTTTATAAAATGGTTATTTTACACAAAATCGACATCCATCTAATTGATGACATCAGACAAATTGATAGCAATACACTAACGAAGCTTTGACACAATGTTCAAAAGTAAACAAAACATTGGGTGCATCGACCCTCGACCCAGACGGAGTGTGAACTCGACACTTTGTACAAATCTGATACCGTTAGTATCTCTTCTTACGGCTAGAGATAAAAGCAATATGTTTATAACATGAAAAAAATGGCTTACCTTGTAAATAATTGAAAGATGATCTAACAGCTCCTTGTTATTGCTCAACTTTCTGGACGGGGTACCCAAGACCCACGTGACTCATTTCACCGTGGGAAAGTGTCAACGATGACCTTTCTCTTAGTACACATAACGTCATAGTCTTCCGTTCAACATTTTGACTTTAGTTTGTTGAAGCGTGATCGCGAAATGCTTCTCAATGCTATCAACTATTTTCAAACAAATAATAAGATCGATATCCAAAATAAAACGATAAACTACAACAACAACAAAATACATACTGTATATAAATTAAGTTTTTGGCATAGATTAGAAGATCTGTGTTTTTATTTATCAATTTGATTAGTTTAAACTTTATTTTATTGATGTTTAATTACAATAGTACATGGTTATAAATACAGAAAAGGATCCAGAAACAAGTACATAGTACTTATTAAATCCGTCTCCTTGTAGACATAACAGCAGCTATGGATCAGTACTGACAATATTATAATTCATATAAATAAATATAAATATATGTTATAAAGTATAACATGTGCAGGGAAAAGAAAGAGAAAGGGTGCAAGGATTTATAGTGGGATGGGGGACGATGTTTGATGGGGAAGCGATGGGCATCAAAACTGCATTGAGAGAACAAACGCTGATTGCATGAATACAAACCACAACAAACATGATTACTGATATGAATGAAGTAAAAGTTTCTTTAAAAACGTCTAGACTGAATGATGAAGTTTTGAACACAGTCAAAAATAATTTCGTTTAAGTTAATTGGTAGTTCGGGTCTACCATAAAGTAAAAAGCTTACATTATAGTTAGGAGGTAGGCGACTAAAACATTGGATTCTCAGCTGCTGGTAGTTAGGACAGTGGAGGAGGAAATGTTCTGTAGTTTCAGTAGACAAATTACATGAGCACATGGGACTATCAACTAAATTTCGTGCAAACAGGTGAGTGTTTAAGGAGCTGCAGTTCATCCTAAGTCGTGCATGATGGATCTGACCTTGTCTGCTTCTGCAGTAGTAATAGTGCTGAGGAACAGAGAGAGTGTCGGCATTAAGAATTTTTTTGAGGTTAGTAATTGAGGGATTGTATTTTACGTTATCTGGTAGTGCATTCCATAAATCAACAGAAGAGGGGAGGAAAGAGTCTTTATATAGATTAGTTCGACAGTTAACTTGACAGAAGTTGTTAGCCCCTCTTGTATTGTAAGTATGTATATTTGAATGGCGAGCAGGTAGAACGTTAGCAAGATAAGAAGGGCACTGTTAATGAACAATCTTATGAAATTGGATTAATTTGTGTTTTCTCCTTCGGACAATAATTCAATAACCCATTCAATTCTTAAAATGTGAAGGATTCAATAATGCGTGAATCTACATGAGTAATCACTATTATGGACATAACGAAATTATAAGTAAGGAGGAAATGTACTTTGCAAAAAAAAAAAATCTGCCAATGTGAGAATGGCTCGATTATTGTAAATAGTTGCACCCTCCAATTTAACCATATCACACTGTATGCAATTTTAATTGTGATATGCAATATTGCGTTTAGTGTTGTTTTACATGCACTGTACATAGCACACTTTTGTATATTTAATTTTGAAAACCCACGAGTCGAACGATAAAAGGTAATATATATAGAACTTAAAAGAAACTTTTAAAACAAAAATGCAGTTTGTCAAAAGCGTATTTGGATTTTGGGCCTGAGGAATTTCTAATTTTGATTAAGGTTGGGAAGAAAGAAGTGTTTTTTTCATTATTTAATAATGAGTTTGCTCGAACACTTTACATTTATAAGCATGTGTCACATTTTTAGACAAAAATCAAGCGTAAAATAATCTGAATACCATGCTTATTGAAATATATATTGTAATCGTCCATGTATATAACTGTGTAACAAAAAACAAGAATGGAGGAAATCTTCACACGGATGCCTGTATATTATTTACAGTAGAATCTACCAAATCGATCGTGAATCACAGTTATATTTATATATCTATTAAGTTTTCCTTTGTGTGGCTTTGTTTATGGTTTTTTTAACAAAAAGGGGAGACCAGGGCAAGTTCGGCGCCGGAGTAAGTCTGACAACTCCTGATATTTTGGGCTGGAGCAAATATTTACAATTTTGAAGAACTTAGCAGTTTAGTTGACTTGAAGGGACATTCACGCTCAAACAAATTGGCAAGGAAAACACTCAATTATAAAAATATAAAAGGATGAAAGCTACTCTTGGGAGTGTAGAAAGAAAATCATGACCTCACTTCTTTCTAATTATGTCAAACATGTAACACACTGATAGATTCATGTGAAGGTATATATAAAAGACTAGTATTGGCTTTCATAAAATGATGCCGCGCAGGTTCGGCATATACAACATATGAAGTCGTGACATTGGCGGGAAAGTCTAACGTTGTATGCCGATTCCAACGTGGGCCGAACTTACCCCCAAACTACCATGGTGTGGCACGTTCGGCCATCCAATCTTCCGACAAAAAGGATGAGTACTTCGTTTTTAGCCCCGCATGCTACAGAACGGGAGTATAGATCTATACCGTGGGTATCATCCAGGGGTTACGTCCACTTTCGCTCTCTACACCCCTGAATTATTGTCATAGCAAAATTGAAGGCAAGCGGCTATATATTTGATTGGTGTCAGGTAAAAAAAACACCTGACCAATCACTAGACTGATGCTTGTTCTTTGAAGGTTACTCAGAGGAGCGACGCCCGACTTCAAAGCCAGAGAGTTTTACCGTTACGCGACCGCGAGATTCTTTTGATGTACATCAAAGGTGCAAAGAGTGAAAGTGAGCGTAACCCCTGGATAAATAGTAGTCGTAGACTAGATATTAATAGTATGACGTCGACAACGGTGAATTAACGGTGAGTTTTAAATACAGACGTGTGTGCCCCTTTTGGTAATATTTTATGAAAGGTATGAACAAATAAATAACAAATAAAAATGGGCCGAACTTGCCCCGGTCTCCCCTACATATGTAACAGAACTTCTTGTTTCCTTGTCCAGTGCATTCAAGGTTTCAGTGAAGGATAAAAGCATAATAATTAAATTAGCCATTTAATTATCAGGTGTTTTTTTTAAAATAATTACTTTATTTTTGTTGCTCTACAGTTATCCCATGTACGGATAATATAAGTTTTTTTCCCTAATGTGTTTTTTTATATAAATTCTCATAAAAATTCGAGTTTCTTCTGAGTAGCTGATTATCATTTATATACGGTTTAGTAAATCCCACCTATATGTCTGTTTACCCTATAGTAGACCATTAGTTCCGGTCGATAATGAATAATTAAATAAATTTGCTTTGGTTCGTCTGTTTCATCCGGGTACTGTTTCATCCGGGTAATTGTTGGTATTTAAGGATTCCTGTTCCACTGCAGTGTGCTTTTTTCCGTAGATGCAGTAAGCTTCCCTTACTTTCTATTTGGATATATCAATCAATCAATCAACTTTATCGCATTTTTAAATCCAATTTACAAGGATCGAGCTGCAAACATCAAACAAACATTGATACTATATAATGGACAGCAAAAACTACATACTTATGCATTCAGCAAGCCTGCCTTTCTCAGTTCAAATGACTTTTTAATAAAGAGGCTTATTTCCTGCAAAAGCTGTGGGTCATAAGATGACAATAATAACGTTAAATTTTGTAGAGCAAACAAACATTTGTTGGAGAAACGTAGTCCTGATATTTAAATTTATTTTGCATTTAAATATAAAATGTACTTCATCTTCTACAGTATTGCAGAATTTACATAGTCGGGATTGTCGAGGAATCCTTTTAGATCTACCAGCCTCAATTTCTTAATTGTGGTTGCTTAGTCTCTATATTCAAAGTTGGGTAACGATAGGTATTGTTCCTCTGCATACTTTTTTTTAAAATTTTACTGTATAGAAATAACTTAATATTGTCGTCCAAACTAAGCATTTTTTCAAAAAAAGTAAGATTCAAATTTAGCGTGTATCGACTTTTTAAACAATAGTTTCATTTTCCTTTTCTTTTTTGCAAAGAATGGGTCGTGATGAAAGTCATAGTTAATATTATTATTATTTTTTATTTGTGAAACATATGTAAACCATGTATATATCCCATTTTCGTGGAGTTGTTTATTTGCTTTTAACAACTCCTTTACAAGTACATTTATATCATTTTGTGTTATCCTTGGCAAATAGCACAATGCTTGAGTATTCACAAAACAGTCCATGGTATACTGACCCCTAACTGTAGCGCAGTTTGGTCTGGACACTTTCGTTGACCAGGTAGCCCAGTCTGTTTAAGCGATAGTATTACAAAGTTAAGTTCATGGTTCGAAACCCAGTCTAGTTCGACTGAATGTTTTACATTTAGAACACTACTTGTTATTATATTTAGTTTATTTCATTTTTTATAACAATCCCGCAAAGGATGGTTTTCTTACGGGGACTTTTAAAGCAGATGAATATAGTCTTCACAGATAAGGTGTGATCATCCTCGATACTCCAGGGGTAAAACTCACACATCCCCTGGAGTAGATGTTGGATTATCGATGGTGTGGTGTGATAAAGAGAGCGTTGCGTCCCTTTAACTGTTTTAACTGTATGTTTCAATGTGACTTTTCAATTCATAAAAAAAATCCCAATATTTAATAGCCAACTTCACTCTAACCGGATCAAGAGCAACATCTTCGGAACAAAATGTAAATAGGATCTTACATGAGTTTCAATTTCATATTAGATTTATGAAACAAGACGTTTCAATTTGGCGAGCATCTGGCGAGCTAAAATGAAACATTCGTGACGAGTTTCATAAATTTTATATGAAATGAAAACGAGAGGAAGATCCTTTTAATCACATAATCAAGACTTGTGGCATTATTTCGTGTAAAACGATAATTTTCATGCAACCTTAAAATGTAAAAAGCCGTCATTTGGACTCCAGTTTGTAAGTCTGTGACGTCATGTTTTTGTACTAGGCTTGACGTCACGATTGAACTAATTGAAACTTACAACCAATCACAGGGCTGATCGGTCATATAATTAACAGTTAAAGTATGGGTATGAGGGATAAAGCAAGTTTATGATCCCCCGAGGCCAGGACTATTACCCGAGGCGAAACCGAGGGAAATAGTCCTGGACGAGGGGGATCATAAACTTGCTATATCCCGAAATACCCATACTTCAACTGTTTTATTATACCGATACAAACACTCCCTTACAATATTCTAAATATTATTAGACAACAAAATTTATATTTTTTCCCATCCTGCTTTCGAGGCTCGGCATAAAAACGCCTCAGCGTCGCATCACAATTCTCAACTGTGCCTGTTTCCATGTCCGCGATATCCAAACCATTTTCAGTGAGGTAGCTAGAGAGCAATGTGACGGGTGCCTGTACTGTTTTTTTTTTTTTTGTGTGTTCCAACTGTCTTTTGCCTCCAATTC